CAAGACCAAATTCCTTGCACAGTTACGAACAACATCAACCTGATCAAAGTAGGATTAGGAAAATACATTTTGATGTCCCCCCAAACAAATGCATGTGAAACTAAACAAAAACATATCATTAAAATACAATATACAAAACAAATATACCTTTTAGTTCATGAGCTCCTCCATCAGTATATCTTCTGTAACATGACTGGGACTCTTTAGACACCTTAGAAGTCTTAATCTTTTCAAATTCTGTATTGAGCACCTCATTGGAAATGTTAACATTCTCCTATACAATTTGGAACTCCCACCCGAACCGTTGGCTCTTTAATGTTGTGGGCATATTTTTCTGCTGGAGGTCCTGGACTTCTTATTCAGAGACATGGCATTGTGGATTCTACCAAATATCAACTGATAAAAAATCCAAACCTTACGCCTTCTGATGGAAATCTTATAATGGGCTGTGGTTGGGTCTTCCATCAGGACAACGATCCAAAACAAACATCAAAATCAACACAAAAATGAATGTGTAACTGAGCACAAAATAAAGTTTCTGCCATGACCGTCTCAGACCCTGACCTGATGAGTGGACTGAACTGAAGAGATGAAGCACCATGCATGGATCTGAGAATCTGAAGGATCTGGAGAGAGTCTATATGGAGGAATGGTCTCTGATCTCTTGTCAGGTGTTCTCCAAACTCATCAGGCATTATAGGAGAAGACTCAGAGCTGGTATATTGGAAAAAGAAGATTGCAAAAAGTATTTAATAAAAGGGTGACAATAATTGTGGAGAATAATTGTGTGTTTTGGAGAAAAACATTTATTTCATAATGTGATTTCCACCCCATTTTCAATTCTTTTACTTCAATGAAAGGTTAGAATTTTGCACATTTTTTAGTGAAAGATCAAAAGGATAAACAATGCAGATTTATTTTTCACATCCAGTTTTGATCATATTTACCAGGGCTGCCATCAATTCTGACCATGCACGGTGGTATTTCCGGTGAAGGTCTAAGGATGCTCGATAACTTCCGCCGATCGTAGAGTCCAATGCAATACAGAGAATTTTTTACTGAATTTTATACTACATGGTTATACTAAAGAAACGTTAGTCACAAAAACAGATAAAACAGACACCCCTCGTTGTGTTTATGCTTCTTTTTAAAATTATATTAATGTATGTATGTTTCGTTTCAAAGACGGGAGGACAGTAAATTTTGAAGACTCTAATCCCGTTTTCCTTCGCTTTAATCTCCACAATCGGAAATGGACGAGCATCCTTGCGTTAAATGCGGAACTTATGCGTGCATATAGCCCATACACACCATACACATATGACTCTGTCTTCTCTTCACCAGTAAGCTGGTGTGTGCAATAACATCCAGCTGCAGTGCAGCCCCACAGACTCAGTTCTTGCTAGACACCAGTGGATGGACAGCCTACGTCATTTCCATTTTCTCTGTCATTTCCGTTTTCACCGCTGGATTGACATATATTTATTTTACATTTTCACCGCTAGATTGACATATATTTATTTTATATTTTCACCTATGGATAGACAGCATATTGATTCTCTGTTTTCATCAGTGGATAGACAGCATTCTTTGCAGGCTTAATTGCACACGTCTTTTCCGTATTGTCATTTTACTTTTATGACTTAAATTATATAATATAAAAGCTGTGTGCAAATTGAAATATGATCTTTATCATATCTTTTTACATAAAACAATTCTCAATAATATACTTAATATTACAACATCAATAATTCATGCAAACTGCATTCACAAAATCCACCTTGAAAATATATTTTGTTCAGATCATATCTGTTACGAACTGCTCTGAGAAGAGGGTTGAGATCCAAACGCAGCTTTATTTGAGGGCAATCCAGAGCCGTAATCCAGTGTACAGGCAAGGGTCATACACAGACAGACAGTCCAAAACAGAGAAACAAAGAAACAAACAAAACAGGCAGGGACCAGAGGCAAGAGAGTAAACCAGGGAACAGGGCAAGCTATCCAAAACCAAGAGACAAGAAAACCATGAGAATGCTCAGAAATGCAGTGTGACAGACTAACAGGATGATGAGACAGGTGAATGCAATCAGTGAATGAGGTAAAGGTGAATGTGATCAGTAATACGCTTTATGCGTAGCGTCACGTGACCAAACCGGAAAACAGGTCTCATCTCATCCGCTTGTCACAGAAAGTGTTAACGGCCGTAAAAACTGACTACGATATCTATGGATTTTTAAGGTAATCAGCTAACCTACCTAGTTCACTTTGTTATTGGCGTTTTATTCCATTTTAATATCTAAACGTTACTGTGAAGACGAAAAAAATAAAACGTTTAAAGTCCCCGTGAAATCAAAATTGAACCTATTTACTTTGTTAGCGCATATTACTAGTCTTGAGGTGAACAATTAATCCGTGCAAGTAAATATATATTTAAAAAATGTTTTACCTTGGTAATCTTTAATCAAAATCTGAAAAGTTACTTCCGGTCTGGAATGGTTTCTTTTTCTGATGACGTAGGTTTCACAGCTTGGGTGGGGAAACGCTTAACCACTCCCCTCAAACCGTTAGTTTGTTATGAGCGAGAGATGGAGAGGAGGAGCGCTAGAGTAAAACCCTGCCCTCTGTTCAATATTCCGTTTCACTTGGAAATACGTCACAGCACTGGAGAAAAATCGTTTGCAACTTCCGGTTCACGGGGACTTTAAATATCAATCTGCATATGTGAGGGACATTGGTTATGCTAATCTTTGATCGCTCCATTTAAGTTATCTTGAGTAAAACCGCAAAAAATTTCATGAAGCACATACAAAAGACCTGGACCGGAAGCGATGAGACCTGTTCAAACAGAATGCGGAAGTAAGTTGTGCATAGAGCCTATAGACCTTTCTCACAACTTCCGCATTTGTGACCGGAAATACGCAATTGTCGTGGTAATCTTCTTCCGCTCCATTCATAACAGATAGCGCCGAAGGCAACTAGTGAGAGTTGTTGCGTACCGATCTTTTTGGTTATTCCCAAAAGCAGCCATACCTGTCGTTTTCATTCCTTCCCTCGTCAGTTCCCTGTCGATGAAGTTCAACGGAAATGGATTCAGGCAATCTGGCGGGATGTTATTGATCCTGTGATCTTCTGTACTTCTCATGTCACCATTCACTAATAAGCCGTCATTGTTTGTTTATTTTTTATGTTTTATGATTTGCGTATTTTTGAAGTAACGTTAGTTCATGTTCAACTTTATTAAGATATTTGTATCCAGCGGAATAAGCACATAAAATATACACCACAATATAAAACAAGATAAATAAGAACACACAACAGTGGGCTACATATACATTTAAAATATTAATATATACCATTCTGAGTATTTAACAATCTGAGTGTACAAGGAATAAATTAATATTTGTATAATTTTTCTTCATCTTTGATCGCTCTATAGCAACAGCAGTGCAAAAAATTCAGGATAACTGTTGAATAAAACTGACAGACTTCTTTCTGGTATTCACATCAAAATGCAGTTTATTGTAAATAATACTCCCTAAATATTAATAACTTTCCACACACTCCACCTTCTTACCTTTAATGAACGTATATTGGGAAGAATGAGCTTCAGTTCTGAAATCAATATCATATCTTTGATCTTAGATAAATCAGCTGCAGACAAGCATCACCATAGCATTTTACAAAGTCATCAACAACTGGACCAAGACAAGTTTACATTTTTTCGAAGTTTTGAAGACTCTCTGATCAATTTTCTCCTCCCAGAGTAGGTTTTTCTGATGTGTTAACAGTTGACGGGAACTCCGTTTCCACAACGATTACGTATTTCCGGTTTTTGTGAAAAAGGTCTATAAGTGATGGTGAGTCCGGCCAGTGAGTTATGGGAAATGTAGTTTGTGAGTGATAATAGTCTTATCTGGAGTGCCCTCTGGTGGTTTTCAAGGGCACTCCAGCTGGTGACCTTTACAATAATGCCTTTAAGCACAATTTTTCTTGAATAGAGTGAAAACTGTCTCAGTTCTGTGGTCTTCCATCTGTATTGTCTTCCACACTCCTTTCTGTGTACGTTTGTCACACCCGTAATAACCTACACAGCTTTATTGACTTTACATAACGATTTTATTTCGCAACCTTTAAAGCAGATTCTCAAGGCTCTTTACACAATGAGACAGACAAATATTAAAAGTGTACACAAAAAAAATAGACTGAAATACAAAATAGTTAAAAGCATAAAAAGCTAACCTTAAAAATGTTTCTAGGTTATATTTAAAAATGCTGTTGATTCTGTGCACCTCTAATATGAAGTGAGTCCTGAGTTTAGGAGCATAGGATGATAAAGCCCTGTCCTCTACAGATCTCAAACGTTTCTTTGGGACAGCCAGCAAACCAGCTTGAGAGGAGTGCAAATGATGCTTGGGAAAAGTTAAAAGCACAGACAGATACTGAAGGGCCAGACCATGCAGTGCCTTAGGGTGGCATACACTGCTATTTTAGCCGAATTTTGACTCGTGGAACTAAAAAAAAAATCAGCTTTGTCGTGCATCGTTTGTCTTGCAGTGTTCGTGCAGTACAGAGGGCAACGAGAGGCGATTAACCTCTCTCTCATTTTATAAACATGTTAATAAATAATGCTAAATAATGTTGCATTTATTGTGATAAGACGTCATGTTTTATACATACTTTATTCACTGTCAGTATACAGAAGTGAGTCATATAACAACTAAAGGAGAATATTAATAAACTTGACTTAGTTAAAACACAGTTCACATATTGTTGTTACAGGTTTTATTAATATTTTATTTAATTACTAATTTTTTCAATATTTCTCACACAGATACATTTAAAAGCACGATTACATGGATAATCACACCACCCTGATGAAAATAACACAGCACAGTTCTCGCTTACTTTTCCATTTGGTTCACTCCCCATCCAGCCCCTGCATCAACAGATCAGCATTAGACGTTCAGACTGTGAGATATGATCATTTATTAGACAATAATCGGTTCAGTGATTCCTCACGTATAGGTCAGTGTGCTCCCATCAACCCATGTCCATCTGTCCTCCACATCACTGTCAGTCAGACCCATCCAGACTCCAGTCGTCCCAGACATCTTCTTTACAAAATCCTAGTTGAACCAACAAGGAAGACACATTTAAAGGGTTAGTTCACCTAAATATGAAAATGCTATCATCTGTTCCTCACACTCATGTTGTTCCAGCTCCATAAAACTTTCATTCATCTTCATCTACTCACATAAAGATATTTTTAATATTTAAATCTGAGAGATTTCTGTTCCTCCATTTCAAGTCTAAGCACCCAAAACTCTAATGCTGTGTTCGATGAGCATTTCTGAACCGTCAGCTTTGGGTGAATGCACTTTAAATTGATTTCATTAAAATGTCTTTCATTTGTTTTCTGAAGAAGAACAACGTCTTATGGGTTGGAAAAGAGAGGAGGTTGAGGAATTGATGACAGAGTTATCATTTTTGGGTGAAATCTGTGTTTCTGAGTGGTCTATATCTTTTTCACTCACTTCTTTCTCTTTGTTGTTTATGATGATCAGATCTGCTCCTCTCTCTCTACAGTATCTTCTGCTCTCAGTCCAGCTCTTCTCCTCAGATGACATATAGTAAACACTGGATTGATAAATACATCCTTCTGTAAACAGAACCAGATCATCTACTAGCACTTTTTACCACTGGTACTTAATTATGTAATTTGTTAATGATAGTGTGCATTCATAAACTCCAGTGTTTCCCCTAGACATTTTTCCAGCAGTGGTGCTGTTATGTGCCGGAGGCTGTTACCAAACCACGCACAAAGAATTTTAAAATAACCCCTTGAACTCAAGTATCCGTTCCTTGTAAAACTACCCCGATGCAACCGCACCCGAGTGCAATTTAGGGGCTCACGTATCACGTTTTTTGCACGCAAACTCGTTATTTCAATTGGCTTTATGCGTAGCTGCACTTTTTCCTGAACTTCAGCCAGCTCCTTCAGGCATGTGATTGGCCAAGGACAAAAAAGCAGGAAAATATACCGAGCACCCCCCACCCCCGGTCGATATTCCAATACCTTTTCCGTAAAGTGAGAGCAAATGTTCAGTCAAAGTCTAATATTGTCTTCACTGTATAAATTATACATTGATTATTATTACAGCTATACTATTAAAGTTCTCAGTCAAGAGCAGTGAGTGATTTCCTCTGTGTTTTGTTGTTTAATTAACATTAAATAGATAGTTCTTCCAAAAATTGTAATTGTCATCATTTACTCTCTCAAGTTGATTTAAACCTGAATAAGTTTCTTTCTTCTGTTTAAGTTATTTGGAAGAATGTGGGTAAGCAGTCGATGTACCCCAGTGATTTCCATAGTAAATTTTTCCCTATGGATGTCAATGGGGACCAGCAACTGTCTGGTTACCCACATTCTTCAAAATATCTTTTTTTGTTTAGCACAAGAAATAAATCAATACAGGTTTGGATCAACATTACAGTGAATAAATAATGACAGAATTTTTATTTTGGGGTCAACTATCCCTTTAAGAACAAGCGGCTGCATTTTTATTATTAGGGCTACTGTCACTTTAAGACCTGTACGCGACACGGAGCATTTGACAAGCAGATTTCTCTCAATTTTCTCGGTTTGCTTTGAGTTTAGACATAACCAAATGTTCTGTAAACCTTGTGTGTATTTGAGAGTATTAGCGAAATAATACTCAAAAGATAACTTAGTCCAGCAACCAGGCGCTGTTATACAAGCTTTTAGTGCATGTGCACGTCAGGTGTTCGCGATCAGAACAGCGCATCAGCAGTGAATGACATGACATGTTTAACCGGCAAGGCTTTAAAGCACATGCAAATTAACTTTTGTGAACTCGCTGAACTGATGTAGCCATTCCTCTTCGTTAATATTGCGAGTATTTGTCGCGTTGTACACTAATGCTGTTGAGACGGAGGTGTCAGGACTGCAGAATGCACGATATACATATTTCTACAAAAGCAGTCTGCAGCTTGCTTGGAGCATGGATCATAGCGCAAATTAGAAATATATCGATATATCGCCCAGCCCTGGTGACCTAACTGTGATGTTCTTGTCAGCTGACAACGATACCAGCGCGAGAGCGACTGAGATACGAAATTGAGCAGGTGAACAAGCTGAACCAATTAGACATTCTCTGGCTGAACGCAAATGCGTCCTTGTTGATACTTTGAAAGGAACTTTCTGTACGCACATTAGCCAGTTAACGTTATGGGTTATGTCCTCATATTCTCTCCTTTTCACTCCGGCTGCCGACACCCGTCCCCCTCATTTTTTTTTTTTTTTTTTTTTTTTTACAGATCTGCATGATTCACGTAGGTTACATTTTCAGGTCGGAAAATCCGGAATTCTGGATTAATCTGGAAAAATCACATCCCTGCTCCTTGTTTCCTGTCTGCTATTATTGGACAAACTTGATTAGAAGTTCAGGAAAAAGTGCAGCTGTGCATAAAGCCAATTGCTATGCCATGGCGAGATGAACACAGCTCATCTCAACAGGTCATGTGACAAAAACAAACCGACCAGCTTTGGCCTTTACATAGCAACATCGATAGCTCGGCCGAACAGCTGATCATAGCTGTACAGGGAAGCTTTTATATTTCTCATCTCAATAAATATATCTATTAGTTAAGCTAATGCAAGCGCTAGAAGTCAATTCATTCTTTGCTGATATGGAGAGCGCAGTTCGCACCGCTTTCTCCATTCCACCAGCGTTTGCTCTCCCGTGGTGTCTGTCTTTGCTATGCAACCATGAACAGAGGCATAGCCTATCTGGAAAAACGAGTGCGCCGCATCGCTTCTATTATGAGCGTTTGCCACGCACCTACATTTGAAATAACGAAGACTGTAAAAAATATGGACAAAGCATCTGTGACGTCACCCATAGACTTTCTGAATAACAGTTTTGAGGCCGTTTATGGGGGTATGGGCGGCACCCTTTTTTTAATATCTTGGGAAATCCTAACCCCACCCACCTTCTGGCCAATCCATATATGGGTAAAAGGGCAGGATTTTTATTTTCTTTTAAAAGAGACTTTTATTTTCCCAAATCGTTGAACTGCACCGGCTTTTATTTGAGACAGGCGTCTATTTGTGTCACAGTCTGTCGTCCTCACCAGTGTGTCCCGTCATCTGCACCACACTTCCCCGGATCCTTTTGTTTCTACTCCCGGACTCACTCCCCAATCAGCCACCTGTTCCTCGTCCTGTCATCATCATTCTCACCTGTTTTTACCTCGTTTAGTTTGATTCTTGCTTGTATTTAGTTCTCCCTCTGTCAGCCTGTGTTGGTCGGTCAATGTTTGATGTTACTTGGTGTACCCCGTCTTCCTGCCTGTGTTTACAAATTAAATGTATCTTCATCGTGATTCTGGACTCTTTCTGCTCTTCTGCCTGCACCCACACCCCGTGACAGATTGACCGACCCAAAAAGCTAAGATGGACATGACTGCAATGACGTTTCGGGGGATAATCGCTCCAATTCGGCGGCCCCGCTTGATTCTGGTCCCCCGAAAGCCTGCGCTCACCGTCAGCCCGGCAAAACTCGAGCTCTCCTCTCCGCTGGTCCCGTCCAGCCTCGCCGAGCCCAAGCTCTCTTCTCCGCTGGTCCCGTCCAGCCTCGCCGAGCCCAAGCTCTCCTCTTCGCTGGTCCCGTCCAGCCCCGCCGAGCTCGAGCTCTCTTCTCCGCTGGTCCCGTCCAGCCTCGCCGAGTTCGAGCTCTCCTCTCCGCTGGTCCCGCCCAGCCTCACCGAGCTCCCCTCTTCGCTGGTTCCGACCAGCCCCGTCCAGACCGTCCAGCCTGCCCCAGAGACCGTCCAGCCAGCGCCAGAGACCGTCCAGCCAGCGCCAGAGACCGTCCAACCAGCGCCAGAGACCGTCCAGACCGTCCAGCCAGAGACCGTCCAGACCGTCCAGCCGGAGACCGTCCAGACCGTCCAGCCAGAGACCGTCCAGACCGTCCAGCCGGAGACCGTCCAGCCGGAGACCGTCCAGACCGTCCAGCCGAAGACCGTCCAGACCGTCCAGCCAGAGACCAGGATCCCGTCCAGCCAGAGACCAGGATCCCGCCCAGCCTCCCTCTCCCGCCTCCTCTCATCTGTCCCCGCTCTACTCTACTGCCCTTCAGCTCCCCGAAACCAGCCTGGTCCGTGTATCCCCGGTTGTCACCTCACACCGCCTCCACATGGACACTTCCTCGGCCCTCTGTCCCATCAGCTCCCCCGTGGCTCCTACCTCCCTCAGCTTCTCCATGGCCCCTCAGTCCACCAGCTCGGCCAGGCTCCCTCGACCCTCCGGACTCCCTTCGCTCCCTCGTCATCCTCCCTTCACCTTGGGACTTCCTTCCTCTGGCTCCGCCCCGTCATGTCACCCCCCCAGTTCTGTCGGACTCCTCACTCCCTCCAGTCACCCGTCAGCCCTCACTCCCTCTGACCTCACCGTGTCCCTCTGTGCCCCTGTCGTCACTTCCGTCACCTGAGCCTGCGGTGTCACCATGGTCCCTCGGTCCCTCCTCAGCACCATGTCATCTGTCCCTCAGCTTCACCCTGGTCTCCTCTCCCATCTGCTCCGCCCCTGTCAGTCGGCCCCCTGGTGTTGTCAGCCCCGATTCCATCGGCTCCACCAGGGGTCCTCCCTCCATCGGCTCCGCCCTGGTCTCGCCCTCAGCCTGCTCCGCCCTGGTCTCGCCCTCAGCCTGCTCCACCCTGGCCACGCCCTCAGCCTGCTCCGCCCTGGCCACGCCCTCAGCCTGCTCCGCCCTGGCCTCACCCTCAGCCTGCTCCGCCCTGGGGACGCCCTCAGCCTGCTCCACCCTGGCCACGCCCTCAGCCTGCTCCGCCCTGGCCACGCCCTCAGCCTGCTCCGCCCTGGTCTCGCCCTCAGCCTGCTCCGCCCTGGGGGGCTTCTCCCTCCTGACCACGCCCTCCACAGCCTCCAGGGCGCCCACCCCCCCTCCCCATTGATGTTATGGCGTGAGGCCACGCCTTCCGGGAGGGGGGAGTAATGTCACAGTCTGTCGTCCTCACCAGTGTGTCCCGTCATCTGCACCACACTTCCCCGGATCCTTTTGTTTCTACTCCCGGACTCACTCCCCAATCAGCCACCTGTTCCTCGTCCTGTCATCATCATTCTCACCTGTTTGCACCTCGTTTAGTTTGATTCTTGCTTGTATTTAGTTCTCCCTCTGTCAGCCTGTGTTGGTCGGTCAATGTTTGATGTTACTTGGTGTACCCCGTCTTCCTGCCTGTGTTTACAAATTAAATGTATCTTCATCGTGATTCTGGACTCTGTCTGCTCTTCTGCCTGCACCCACACCCCGTGACAATTTGAGACTGGCCTTTATAATTTAGTGTTGAGATGTTGTTCATTGAGTGTAGGTGTAGTCTCTTATCTCAAAAAATCTCCAAATGCTCCACGTAAAACTGCGGTCTTCCGGCCTTTTACTATCGTGTCAATTGATTTTAATTAATATGCGCGAGAGAGAGAGAGAGAGAGAGAGAGAGCAAGACAGCACACGTGTTGTTTGAAGACGTGAGAGTGCACGTGCTCTCTCTCTCTCTCTTTGCTCGTAACACGCCCTGTCAAGCGCTGCAGTCATTCTATTCTACATCATTCACCGATCAAAAGAGGCTTTGGCGGGACAAAAATTTGCTTTGGCAGCCGCCAAAAAGCGGACGATCTGACGGGTTTTTGAATATTAAATAAAACCCAAAACTAAAAAACAGACCCAGCGTCTATTTGAGACCGGCCTTTATTTACCCAAACCTGCAGCCACACCAGGCGTCTAAAAGAGACAGGCGTCTATTTGGGACTTGGCTATTATTTGAAGTTTTACAGTACATTAATTTCATTGACAAAAAAATAAATACAATTTTTTGACCGACACGCGGAGAGCACCAGAGGATTATGTAAACACTGATTTAACATTACCCATTTCATTAAGCATTTTCCACAGTTCATTTCTCTCCTGATTGAACTGGTCTCTTTCATTTGTCAAGGTTATGTTCTTGTTTAGTAGCTGGTCTCTCTCTTCTGTTTGGATGGTTATCTTGGATAGCAGGTGGTCTTTTTCTTCTGTGAGGTTGGTAATCATGTTTAGTAGCTGGTCTCTCTCTTCTGTTTGGTTGGTCATCTTGGATAGTAGCTGGTCTTTTTCTTCTGTGAGGTCGGTAATCATGTTTAGAAGCTGGTCTCTCTCTTCTGTGTAGTGTGTGCTCTTGGTCTGCAGGTGGACACACAGCACTATGACTGCAGTCAGCAGGAGAACACACAGAAGCAACAAACACACTGGAGCTGCTCTGGAGCTTCTGATCCTCACACAATCACTTCCTGAAAATAAAGTAAAGAAAATAATGATTAATGTTTAATTAATGTCCTATTGTGTGTTATATTTGCACCTGTATGGTTTTGTCACAGGTGGGGGTGGTCAACTGGGACCGCGCCGACCCCTAGGACCCAGTACCACCTCAAGGAGCTAACAGAAACCAGACAGACGAGGCAACAGACCGAGTAAAGTGTAAAATAATCTTTTATTATGGTTCCTCTTCAGATGAACTTCAAGTGGCAGGACAAGGGCAGATAGCTGGATGGACACACTCAAGCCAGACGAGGTGAGTAGGTCGGTATGGTTCCTCTTTAGGCGAACTGCAAGATAACACGGGACAAAAGCTTACAATTGGATGGACCAATTCCGGTCAGTGAAGGGTAGGCTTTACGTTACCCTTGGTGGACACAACCCTCGAGCTGGGCTGGTCTTCTCCCTTCCCCTGTGACTGGACAGCACCGTGAGAGTCAGAGTTGTGAGCAACAGCAAGGTCATGTTCCACACTCAATAGTTCTCCACTTACACATAAACTTCAACACTGCACTCCACACACTGGGTGAAATAAGGCCACTGCTCTAACCTGACTCCTCTGCCACAATCCTGAAGGGGGTCGGGTGTCAGAGGGGTGAACTTGAGACCCGGGAGGCACACAATTACGATAAATTTTCAGAACTTTGTCTAAGCACACTGGGACAGCGATCTGGGATAGAGGTGATGCACACACACAAATACTGAGAGAAGAGAGCAAAAGATCATGACCCAGTTATCCTCAAGTTTGGATTTTACACAGTATTTCTTTCTCCATTAAAGGGGTGATGAACTGAGAAATCTATATTTCCTTGAGCTTTTGACATCTAAGAGGTCATCATATTATAAGAATATCCTGTAAGTTTCAGAACTGAAAACGTCCTTGTTAGTCCAATAAAAGCTTTTATTGACACAAGGCTCAGCAAACGACTCGTTTTTCAAAGTGGGAAAATATGACGTCAAAGAGGATAAAACACCACCCCCGCAGAAGAAGATCAACGCCTATTTCAACACGGCCGGTTTAGCCCCGCCCACCGATTCTCATAGACTCATAGCTAAATAATATAGATGCCTACCTCGTGATGACAATCCGGATTGATATACCGAGCAATGCAGAATATTGTGCAGTGCCTGGTTGTGGAAGAAGACAGTCGCTGCATCAGCTTCCTCTGGATTCCAATAGGACTGCATGGATAAACTTTATTTTTAATGACGTTCCAGCTGATGAGGTAAAACATCGTCGTCTGTTCGCTTCATTTCACTGAGGATTGTTTTGTAAACAAGACTGGATTTGCAGACCGATTAAGATTAAAGAACGGGGCTATGCCGTCTATATTGGATCTGACAGGAATGGTGCAACACACGGACTCTGGGTCGAACATGTATGGGAGAATCATTCCGGTTGCCATTTTACAACATTGGACGTTTTCAAAACAATTTCCCCCAAGAGCATCGACAGGTGAGTTGAAACTCATTATAATATGCAACTGTCATTATAATATGCATCCACTCACAGCAGTGGGCATTTACTAGGGTGAGCAACTGTTCTGTTTTTCCAGGACATGTCCTATTTTCATATAACAACATAACAATTTTCTATCCATACAGAGGAGGCATAACCTACTTTAAATGTATTGAAATTAATAAGGTATCTTTGAGTAAACTCCGAGTATCATTTGAATAGGCCCATCTGTTTGCCGGGCCGAGTGTCCTGGTTTTTGGTAATCAAAATATGGTCACCCTAGCATTTACTTCCAAGTCTTCAGTGAGAGACGCCCATAAAAAAAGAGCGTTTTTCAGCTAGGCTCAAAACTAGGGCCTATTACTTTTTTCATTTTAATGTTTTTGAATGCAAAAACCAAGAGAACATCATAAGTGGACCTCAGACAACAATACAATAAAATTTAAAAAGCCAGTTCATGACCCCTTTAACACATCTTCCATTCCTCATATCCATATAACAGCAGTACTGAAGGCTTTGAATAAAGTCAATGAGTACTTATCTTTCTCAAGTACATCAATGTTTTTCATTTCACCCAAATCCTCTCCTTCCAGTTAGAACAACTCTCCTCAATGATCCTCCTTGGATGCGATGAATCAAAGTTCAATAGCCAGCCCGTGAACAGCAACCCAAAATTATCGTCCTGTCTCTCCAGCTGAATTGAGCACCCACTTCATTCTCAGCGATCCCTTTTTATCAGCCAGATTCCTTTTACGTGTCCCAATCATTGATCTCGGGGCTCTCATGCACACCTGTTGTGTGTTTCCTCATCAATGGCCGCTCTTCCGCGACTCGCGAGCCGCCGGAACTGGCCTGGCGTTACACCGGGGCCGTTCCGAAGGGGAAACGTTTGCCGCGAAATTTTAGTTCCGCTTGTTTTGGGTCACCCCGTGACAGTTTCTCGGTCCGACATGCATGACGTATTTGATGCCTTCATCCAACAGTGTGCGTGGGAAAGTATCGGTGTTGGTGGCGTATGTGGTTATGTAAATACACATGTGGAGGGGTGTGTGTGTGTGTGTGTGTGTGTGTGTTGGCTACTCCTGCAGAAGTAAATCTGTATGATGTTTATGTACATTATACCTCTGCTATTTGATAGCCTAGGTCCTTTGATAGTTCTATTTCCGTTCTTCTTGAGCTGACCCTTTAATGTTATGTCAGATGTAACTGATAATTAAATATGTCTTAAACATCAAGAGGTTCATGTTTGCCTTGAGTTTTTGGTGAGCGTTAGCAAAACAGTCTGAGGTAACTCTCCGCAGTCAGTCAGCGGAGCTGTAGCCTATGTAAGTTGGACGAAGTGTTACCGTTAGAATTAAGTACTAAAACTTTACACCAAATCAAATATGTAATTGCATGATGCTAGCTACTGCTAGTTAGCCAGCTGAAACTACCCTACTTAAAACGACACTAACAAAACACTTACATTCATTAATTCCAAAAGTTTAAAACAAGCTAATCTTAAATATATATCTTACGATCGTATGCAGGAGATTAGCTTGGTTTAGATTTTGGAATTAAAATTAAGGATGTATTTATCTACTGGTAATGTCGTAGTTTTGGTTCAGAGCTGTGACCTAACGTTAGACATGCTACCTACTGTTAGTTAGCCAGCTGAAACTACCCTACTTAAAACGATACTAACAAGACACTTACATTCGTTTGAACAACACAGTGTACAAAACAAATGTTTTTCATAGATATCATATTCTAATTAAATGAATACTTACAATCACAAAACCAATGTTCTTGGCGATAGTCACTGTGCTGCTGCCGCAGATGCTGCTCGTGTCTGACAGCTGAATCCTCTGTGTAACAGCTGTTCTAAATAAGCTACATCTGACGGGTTAATAATAATCATATATCAGATCTTGCCACGCTATTGGCTCGACTGATTTAGTAGGCAACCGCGTTTGCCTGCATATTTACGCTTGTGCATTAGGATTTTGGGGGAAAATGTGCAATAAATGGCAGTGGCAACACTTTTCATATTGTTGAGAATAAAACAACCGTCTCAACTTTACAATTTCAGGTTCTCCCTCCATGGGGATCATCCATTTCGAAAAGTAAAGCAGATACGGGCCCTCAGCCCACCGTCTATTCAGGGTTGGTTATTTTTGCAGCCTTGTGCCGTTGAAGGGACTGTGACACTACCATGCAACCCGTGCTTGATCGTCCAAGGTAATGTTGTGGTGGAAATTTTAAACTATAATTATTAAACTAACCATGTTAGACTAACATCCAACCTAATTTGGCGTCTAACGTTTGAACAGAGTGTACTGTACGAAACCAAGGGAAAACTTTTGACTTTTAGTGTGCGTGTGTGTAAATAACAAATATGGGAAATTAAACTAGACTGGTGTCTATACTAGAAACTAAAACCAGAGTTTGGTTACCTAGTAACAAGAGGGCTTGTCTATGAAGAACCAATCAAATTAAGTAATGTTTCATGTCATTTTTTCATACCTCCTTATTCTATAAAACTGTTGTATTTGTGTTTTACTGGTGGCGGGATTCTCAATGGAATGTGTCTGAGATCCACCAACCATGCTTATTGCTTCTTTTTGGGAGATTTCCTGAGAACTGCTCTGAAAGATCTCCCGGCCGTAATGAAAGTAATTTAGAGGACATTTGCTGAGGTCTATCTGTTATTACTGCTGCGCACCAGGTCAGTTTAGGGAAGCAAGTAAGTTAGTTAGCAAGTAATGCTGGGTACACACCAAAAGATAATCGGGCAGATTTTGGGCTGATTTCCTCCCTTCTGACAACCCTAGCTATGTCCGGATTATCTTGATGATTCTACAGATTATCTTATCAGATTCTCCCTTGGTGTGAGGTGTGTTAAGAGTCTCCGAACATGCTCGGAAGAACGTCGGAGCCTCCCCGATCGCGATCACATGTTGAATATTTACGATCAGAAATCCTGATGTGTGGGGGGAACCCCAAGCACAAATGCACGCGTGCTCTGAAGATTATCACGTGAAACGAAACAATATCCAATCAGAAAGCGAGATGATGGAAGACGGAAGCATAACTAATACAGTCATGGTGCAGCACAACATGAAATTGATGTGGTCAGCAGAGATGGAGTATCAGCTTGTGGCTCAGAAAATGTAATTAGCTCAATATAAAAAACATTCCATTTAAGGATAGGTGTGTGTGTGTGTGTGTGTGTGAGAGAGAGAGAGAGAGAGAGAGAGAGAGAGAGAGAGAGAGAGAGAGAGAGAGAGAGAGAGAGACGGAAAATTAACCATGGTTTTAATATAGGCGTATTGAACATTTGTATAACCAAATAAATACTATAGTTAGATTTTATTTTTGGGGGGCGAAACTATGGTTTATTTGTGGTCATTCCAAACACTAACATCGCAATTTCTTCCTGCATATCGTCCACCATGCTTATTCTTAAGTCTCGTAAGATTTCCTGTGTTCACATTCTAGATGGTTGAAAATCTTTTCGTGTGGTGTGCTGTCTTT